GAAAGAGGGCAAATTAGGAAAACCAAGGATGATTATGCGACACGGGGCGGACTTACGACAGAACCAATTAGCATTAGTGACCAGCACTACATTACACTTACCCACCAGTATATTAATGGTGTGCACTAGTTCCTCAACATACTTTATCGACTCAAGGCGAACCTTTTGACATGGGCTATTCGAGGCGAAGAAAGTAACGAAAGTCTTCAGAAGGCAAAGAACTTTATCTTAACATCTGTACAGGAGAAAACTGGGCTCAAGTTGGACCAAATCGATTCCTCGTCTGGAAACACAGGCACGACCACAACGGGACAACAAGGTCGCAGGTTCTTTTCATTCGAATTAAGGGAGAAAATCAAGGAATGTGTGCCTGAAAAACATCAGGAAAAATATTCGAAACTTATGCACCTTTATTCCGTGATTCTCAGGGCGGTTTCATCTACAGAATCGATTCATATAGAAGAACTGAGGAAATTAACAAAGGAGTTTATGCTTTTCATAGCAAATGATTTTTCAGGGGTCGATTACAGCATAACAGTGCACAATTTAATTTTTCATTCGGTGGAATTGATCGAACGAAACAATGGAACTGGTTTAGGGGAACTCAGTGAAGAGGCCCTGGAGTCTTCGAATAAAGACGTGTGCAACTACCGACAATTTCTTGCGCGTAAATGTGGTCATATTCCTAATCTTACGGACGTATTCAACAGACTCTTCCTTCGGTCCGATCCTCTTATTCAGCGTGTTATAGAACGGTCACTATTGAACAGGCAAAAAAGAACAAGCAATGTCATAGTGATAAGTACAGTGAATCCAGATGACTTACTTTTAAGTCAAATTCTCGTATAATGATTTTTACAGTGAAAATTTTACAGTGATGCAGTGAAACTTGTTTTTAGTACCTTTTAGTTTCTTTTAGCAAATTTTAACTACTAATTTGCGTGCGCTTGCTTTGATGAATTTTCCCCCTCCAGGAAGGGAGACCTCTCCGTGGTGAGAAGGAGATTTAGTTTTTCAACACGTGACAACCTCTCCCCTTCCCTCTAGTAGCAGCTGTTTTCCTATGATACCGTTTTCCACAAGAATAAAAAATTTTGATCAAAAACCGGGTTTTCTGGAAAACCTCTTAAAATAAAAGTTTTCAAAAGCGGATTTTGACTTCACTAATGGATAGAGCATAGTCGATAACCTATTAAAACATATTTTTCTTTCGCGTCTAGCTATCGTCTAAATGCCAATTTCCGCCTGCTCTAGCCAAATATGCCCACGGTGTGATCCTTGAGAGTTTCTGAGTATCGTTAAGCTACTTGTAAACAGCATAAGCCTGAGCTTGTGTGATAAACTTCCGTTTCAAAAGAATTGCATTATTTTTTAATTATACCGAACAATAGCATTTACTTGTTTATTTTTGACTAATTTCTTTCAAATAGCAGTAATTCTCATTTTATCAAAATAAATATTTCAACCTGTCGAGCTTTAAAAGGTTTAAGGGCAGACACGTGTCACTGCCACACGATGTAGTTGGACCTCGTGATAATTCTGACATATTTCTTAAAGCGATTGAAACTACAGTTGCATCTGCTTGTAAACAACAGCAAGAGCAAATTAGTGGATTAACTGTCGAATTAGATAGAACGAAATCCCACTTAAATGATTTGGAACAGTATGGTAAACGTAAAGATCTGCTTATTTACGGTATTCCAGTGAAAAACGATGAAAACTTATATACAACAGTAATGGAATTAGGAAATGCTTTAGGTATTAAATTAAACAGAAACGACTTCTATGCAACTCATCGTTTGCCAGCAAAAAGAACAGGTGATAAATTAAAGTCAACAATTATTGTAAGTTTTGTACGTATTACTGGTCGTAATAAATTCTATCGACACAAACAACTTCGGTGACACGAAAAATCCAAAAATATTTTTGTTAATGAACACTTAACATCGTACAACAATCGATTGTATTTTTATGCAAAACAAAAGCTAGATAAAAAGAGAGTATTTACAAGAAACGGTAACGTTTATCTATTTATTGAAAAAGGTAAATATAGAAGATTTCAGTCTATGGTGGACATTGACAATGCTTATGATCAATCAAGTAACTGTGCTATTCAGATGATCTCGTCATGACCGTTCGATTTATTCACAATCATTTTTTTCTTTAACCATTTCTTCTCATTCTCTTTTTTCTTTTATCCCTTATCTATTCTGTCCAACGCTATTTATGTACTAGTATGTATTAGGTTCTTCTTTGGTGGTGGTAGAGTGGCTATTTCCTTTCCTCCATAAGTAAGTTTAAAGGAAACGTGTTTGCTAGTGAAGTATTTACATTTATGAATATAAGAAGTCTACTTCCGCAGAGGGATGTTGTTAGTGCCTATTTGTCTCTTGCTTGTCCTGTGTTTAACTGAGACTTGGCTTCATTGTAGTATTTTAGATAGGGATATTAACTTTCTTCACTATCATTCCCCAATGCGCTTAGATCGAGATCGGCACGGTGGTGGATGTGCGATTTATGTAAGAAGTGATTTTCATTGTATACGATTACTTGAGTTTGAAAATGCAAGATCTGAAATACTAATAATGCGCTTAACATTAGGAAATCGCTTAAGTGTAATAATTTTGCATGTGTATCGTCCACAGACGCTTACTGTGAGGCAAATTAAAGAACAATTACACAATGTACTTGAAGAAATAAATAAATCAAAATATAAAAAAGTAGTGGCCACACGTGAATTTTCTCATGTTAAAATTTCCGTAAAAAATATCACTTGCGGACACGCGTGAAAATGATTCCCACTAATTTCATTGTGAAACATATCTTCACATTTATTCGCACGTCAGTTTTTCACGCAACTCATTTCGTGAATAATATTCACACTTAACCCCAAGCGACAAAATTCTTACGTTTCACGCGCGTCCACGTAAGAAACCTTTTACAGGTGCGAAATGTCGTGAAGATTAAGCGGCAAGCATAAATACAAATTTCTCCTATATCTTCTGAAAGTTGTACATGCATACAGATGATTACCTCGGAATTCCGATGTAATACATTTTCTTTCATTTTATAAGAAATAAATCAGAGAATGGTGATGTGTTTTGTTATTACAATAGATAGAACGGGAGATCAAATTTCCACAATCTAAATATTTTTCCATTAGATGAACTATCGGCAAACAAATATTGGCAAAAAAAAACAGATTAGTTTAATTTTGTCTTACGTTAGAAAGGAGCAAAACATTTTTAAAAATGGCTATTTTCACACTAAAGTTCCGCGAGTTTTTGAAAAATATTTTATTGATATCTTTCAAACTATCCAACATTTGGCTTTCACTTTTTAACCATTGTTTCACATTATAATATTAAACATTTTCCTAAAGTTTCGACTTTAGAGCTTTAGTCGTTTCTGAGGAAAGAGCGGAAATGTCCCGCGACTTAAAAACGAAAAAATTTCTACGAAGAATTTACTTAAACTAGACTTATTATATACCATTGGATTTGTCTTTTGTTGGGAAAGATAACCATGCCTTTCATAACCCTGCGGAATATATGGATCGTTACTTTGAGACTAGAAGATCCTAAATAAAGTAGTATCGCAGTATCGCTGGCTACTCAGTGAATAGAATGTATATACACTTGTACATATACAAAACACTATAAGCATGCGTCTCTAAACAATGCACAGTGGGCATCCAGACGGACATTAGGCAAAAAATCGAAGTAACTCTTTTCTCAAATATAAATAGTGTAAAATGTAGCTGTTCAAATTCTCTATCGAATGGTGTATAAATGTCTATTTTGAAAATGGATCCTTCGAGCAGAAG